AAACTTGCAATATTCTGTTTAGCCACCTTGTTATCATCTTTCAAAAAAAGCAAACAAAATTGAAATTGCGCACTAATAGGAACACAAAATAGGACTAGGTTAGGCAAACCTTATCGACAACGAAGCAACGCAACAAGTTCAAGTTTATCACAAAAATATAAGCGTCTTCAAGGTACGTTTATTTTAAAGTTTCACGAGTATCTAGCCTGTCAAAGCTTTTGATAGCTATGACTGTTAGTTTCAAACAGCACCTACAGACATCACCGATGAAAGCAAAACAAAACCCAATGCGAAAAATGTTTGAAGAGATTGAATAACTACATATTCGAATGCATTCACATCACTCTTGAGAATGAGGTTCGTTTCGCATGGCATCGGGAACAGGCGGTGGTGTAGATAATTCGCTAATAATCGGTGCTGATTCGCCTCTCATCATTAATGCCACCATAGCCGGAGTTTGAGCCTAAGGAACAGGAGAATGTCATCAATTTAGGGAAAAACAAGAAAAGAAAGAAATCAAAGCAGTATTTTGCAGTTTGCAAGTCACCAGTGGTGGATTCAGAATCATATGGGTATATGGTTCTTAAATCGAGGGAGAAAAACTTCGATAAAGGAAACGAAGAAGAAATCTTTAGAAACTTCCTGAATGGTAGCTCTGTTATTTCCAGCGGCGTAGAAAACAAAAGCACGTGATGAGCTGGCGAGTAAGTACATGTGTGAGCAAGAGCGCACCGTCATACAGCGATTGCGGAATGAAATGAAAAAGGAGGAGCGAGACCTCGGTGAGCGGAGCATGACTGTTGTGTCAGACCTCCATCATTCTTTTCGAGACACGAAAGTCGTAGCGCCAATTTCATCAAATATGGAAACTAGGCATTTCAGTGACCTAACTTTCTACTGCGACAGAGTAATTAATAGCATACCTTTGCATTATTCACATTGAAACCACTCTCCGCTAAAGTTTTCTTATCGTCAAGGGGCTGGAAATTAGTCGTACTATCATCCAATAAACGAACAAGTACTTGATCTGTCACTGGGATCTGAAATACGAGGAATGACATCAGAGGTTTCCTTGCAGCAATCGTCAATGAAATAAACAAAATGCGAAACCATCAATGTTAAAAACTTAGAGCAGGCACCGGATCTTTAGGAGAGGGGATCGTTTTGTAGATCCCTGCAGACATAACCAGACTACTTTTGTAAAACACTGTAAACTCCCGCTAAAGTGAGAAATCCCGCAACTCAAACCACAAATGGCAACTGGACGGGTTTAAAATGCCCACTTTTTTCGAAAAACATTTCGCTTTACATTGAGCAGCAGTATGGAACTCCTTCCACCAACGCACTTCAAACGCAGGGGATTCTCGTAAGAGGTTGGGTGGATTTGGTCGCTGGAGGAGGGGGGAAAAGATGGAAAAATGTTCTCGTTCGTTTCTATCGCGAAGTAGGCAGTTTAAACAAAGAATAAGAAATCGCTTGCAAATGTAACTGGAACCCCGTCATAGCTTAAAGATGTTCGGGTGCTGACATGAGTTTGGAAAGTTCCTTCGTAGTGAACTAGAGCCTTTACAGCGTTTCGCTGGAATCAAGTAGAGAAAAATAAAATTCACAAGTTCGCACAGAATAGTGGAACAATAGAAATGCAGTAGTAGAGTCCGTGAAAAGTACCTTTAAAACGCCTTCGATTATTCGTTTAAGTTCAAGAACAGGAGCCGAATCTTTCGCATCACAGAAAACATGTTGTTTTTCTCGCACAATTTCGAAGAAGAGCTCATGGACCTCAAAAACAAAAACATAGCCAACAATCAAATCAAAGTTCTAGAGATGGAAAATTTCTACTAACCATTTCCCTCGTTCAATGACGACTTTTCTCCTTTGTTTAAAGAATACTTATTAGCCTGCGTTTGCTGGCAGACTTTATCCAAAGATTACGCGAACTATAAATAAACCTTCACTCGATCTTCTGTCTGTTGGAAAGGCAGAACAAAAAACAAACAGGAAAGCCACAACGAAATGAAATGAATTCAATGAAAGAAGCTTAGAAACGAAATAAATGTAGGCAAAATAAGGGCCGACATGACGGCAGCTTTTCGCTATATTCGTTTTCCGGAGGCGAATGCTACGAACCATTGTTAAAATTCCTCAAAGCAATCAAGAAAAGTAATAGAAAGGAAGCTTCATCAGATTTCTGCTGAAGAAGAAAACGATGCTATCTCTACTGCACAAACTTCGTTTGAAACGACGGCTAAAATTTGTACTACTGTTTGAGGAACACATCCGAGAATACCGTATCATTAGAATCTGTTATTGAAGCACAATCTTACGGACTGAAGCACTGTCGTCGCCACCCCAGCAATCATTGCTCGTTTAGTTACACACACTTTTCT